GTTGTGATACCTTGTGTTGCAATTAAATATACACCTGTATCATTTTATCACAACACAAACACCAAAACAATTTTTTACATAAGTCGATTATTTACAGTTTTGCATACCTTCATTTTTTTACCTTTTCGCAAAAAGGCGCAATTACAAATTTGCTAATATTTGTTATTTATTAACTCAATACAGTTTTATCTTTTAGATTTAGTCAGAAAATAATTTATTTTGTGCACGGATACTGATTTTGGTGTGTTTTAACAATTGAATTGTGTATTTTTATCGGTTTAATATTAATTTGAGAAACATTTGCGCAATTATCGCAGGGCCTACAAATTTAGTATCACCATCTTTTTATTCTACCGGGCCTGCGCTTTCAGAAAATATATGGTTTGGGGGGTCTTTTACAAACGCTAGCAACGCAGCAGTTGAAAATCAAACCAATAGGAAAAAATTGCAGAAAATTCAAAAATGGCTTGGCCAGCTGATTTGAAAAATGTTCCGGAGGGCTTGGCAGCGAAAGGGTTAAAAGCGTTTACCGCTCATCAGTTTAGTGTTATCAGCGATTGATGGCCCTAAAATTATTGCTCTCACTGCAACGTTCGCAATGATTTGTGACGTAATCTGTTTTCGCACGCATATTTGTTTATATGTGCGTGCATGCAAGAGGATTGAATTTTTTTTTTTGTTTTTTTTTTTTTTTTTTACTAAGAAGCCCCCTATGTGATAACCAATATACAATGACAGGTCCTTTTTATGGAGACATTAGGGACCCCTAATGTTACCTTGGGACCCTCAAAGAAGCTGATGAAGCAGAGATCTGCTTCACCATCTTCTCCTCTAGCTATTGCAGCCAGAGAAATGACAGCTAAAGGCGGAAGTGATGTAATACACATCACTTGCGCCTTCAAGCATTGGAGGACAGATCAGCAGTGGGGGAATGCTGATTTCTCACCTGCTGTTAGTGTAAGGAGCCGCTGTGCCGATCCTGGGCCCGCAGGGAGGCAGCGATGGTGAAGGGGGCGGCTGCACATTGCCATTATGCAAGCGATCGGACCACTATAGAGCGGCAATAACGCTTGTATGTCACAGCCGTTACCGGCTGTTAAAATATTTTTGGGGGATTCTGCTTGCGCATGCAGAAAACAAAATCACATAAATACGTCGTCCGCCCATGTATTTAGAAAATGCGGACGGCAAGTGGTTAAAGTAGAACTGAGGCAAAAACATTTTTTCTGTTCTGGTGACACCCAAAAATGTGGGACAAAAAGAGAGGCTGAACCCCCCTAAGAATGTTTGAACGCAAGTTGCACTTTAAAAAAAGCACTCTGGGAATTTAAAAAGCTTATTCTTGCAGTGGGGCTACCTCTGCACTGCAAGGGTTTAATGCTTTTTTGTCCAGGGGACTTGCATAAGGTAGATTTACTCATCCGATCCTCGGTCCTGCCCTGGTTGGTGCTGTCCTGTCTCCCCCTCCATTCAGGTCGTGGAATGTCTAATGCAGGTGAATGGATCTGCATAAGACGTGATGACATTAGTAGTCCTCACATCACCGGATCCCAGGGGGGAAGAGGCTGCGGGACCGGTCGAGCAGCCGGGACCGATGATCAGGTGAGTATATCTGCTTTATTGAATCCCCCTAGACAGAGCAACCACCTCACTCCAAGGGTGTTTTTCAAAATTCCCAGAGTGACACTAAACTCAAAAGTTAAATCTTAAAAATGCATTCAAGTACCCCAACTATTAACAAAAGCCGTATCACTTCGGTGTGAATCCACCTCTTTGGAGGCAGCAGCTTTTACATCCTCTTTACAAAAACATATGCTGCCTGTGCAGTAACTCCCCATAAACTTAGTGACGCTAAACTCAGGAGTTAAATCTTAAAAATGCATTCAAGCACCCTAACTATTAACATAAAATGTATCTTTTTTGTGTATCACTCAGCTGTAGATCTTTAAATCATCTCTGAATTGGTGCTGATAGTGTCATTCCTTCTGGAGGGGGGCTACTTTTGTTCCCCATGGTCCTTGTGTGTCTAAATAGACCTGATATTTCGTTTTTAGAATAGAAAAAGAGATTAAGGACACAGAGTCCTCAATCTCTTTGTCTGCAGCCTCTATTATGAATGAACAGAAATCCTGTATACTGAGTGCTCCTGTCAATTCGTGAACTGTGGAAATAGTATAGAGTTACTGTGTCCATAATCCTGAATGAACAGGAAGTGATGTAGAGCATTTCCTGTTCATTCATAACTGAGGACACAGTAAGCATATTATGTCCTCGGTTATTTACAAACACTCAGCGATCAGTTCTGATTGCTGAGTGCTTGTAACCCGCTCTCCATCCTGACTCTTCCGCCTGTCACAGGCGAGTGGTGTGGGAGGGTATCTCAGCCTCCGGTGACAGCTGCCTACTCCCCGCACCACCCCAAACTGCATCCTGACAACTTCTATCCTCCCCACTGTGCGCCGGTCTTTGTCTCCTCCGATCCCCTCTGCCTGTGCCAACACAGGTGGAGGAGAGCAGGTGACACAAACTGGCATCCAGTGGGGAGGAGAGAAGCTAGGGATGTACTGAATTTTCAGCTGCAATTTTGTCCGTTATGGTACTTTCGGTATTTTGCCCATAGTGCCATTTTCGCCCGGAATTTTGATGCATCATTAATAGTTAGGGAAAATAGGGTGTCAGTGAGGGGAAAATACATTTTTGGGTTTAATAACACTTTAAGATAGTTCAATATGAAAGAAAAAATGGAGAGCAGTACAAGGATGAGTGTCTGCAAGCAACAGTGAAGCATGGTGGAGGTTTGGAGCTTGCACGTGAAGTTGAGGATTTGGTCAGAATTATTGGTCTTCTCAATGCTAAAAAGTAGAGGCAGATACTTATTCATAATGAAATACCACCAGGAAGGCGTCTAACCGGCCCTAAATGTATTCTGCAGCAGGACAATGGCCCTAAACATGCAGTCAAAATCATAAAGAACTATCTTCAGCAACAAAAAGAACAAGAGATTTATGGCTCTGGTGACTGGTCCCCTAGAAAGTGAGGGGAAAATAAACATAGAAAGCATGAGGAAGTGTTATGTCAGGAATTTGTGCTGTCTGTGAACCCATAAGGAAATTCCTATCACTTCTAGTCCCAGTAAGTGGTACAACCAGGGAAAGGAAATCAGTTAAAATTTCTGTAACGGATGCAGACAGTAATTAAAGGAGAACTATGAGGTGAGTGCTTTTCATTCACCTCATAGTTCTAGCCGACCTGTGACAATGAGACTGTCACAGGTCGGCTCAGTAGATCGGGAGGTGAGCGAACACATACCGGCGTTCGCTCACCTCTCGATCCTGTCACGGCTCTCTGCCTTGACAGGGGAGGGGCTGGATTCCCCCCTCCAAGCTCCGATCCGCCAGCGCTGACTGGCAGAACGGACGGGGGAGGGACGGGTACAGCTGGCTCTGCCTTTAGATAGGCAGAGCCAGCTGTCAGTCACACAGCTGGGCGGATCCCGGCACAATTGTCAGGATCCGCTTCAGCTGCGGCGTCTCAGTATACCACGAGCTACAGCTCGCGGTATACTGAGCATAGGGTGACGGGAGGACGCTAGTTTGTGTCCTCCCGTTACCCTAAGGAGAACTATTGGGAAAAGACTTAACACCATAGTTCTCCTTTAAAACCTAAGCAGTACAGATGTCCCAAGTCCTGTAGAACTCCTTACCGGAATCCCCAAAAGTGGTATTGGGTGCTAACAATGACAGCGAATGGCGCCACACTTAGAACAGTCTTCAATGGAGATGTCACCAGCACACCAGCACAATAAAGACTCAAATGTCAGTGCAAATTAATTTAATGATGATAGTCACTCAAAAATGTCAAGCGCTTTTGGGGCCGTGCAGGGTCCCCTTCATCAGGCTCAGAGTAGACATTGAGCCGGATGAAGGGGACCCTGCGTGGCCCCGAAAGTGCTTGACATTTTTGAGTGAACATCATTAAATGAATTTGCACTGACATTTGAGTCTTTGTCGTGCTGGTGACATCTCCATTGAAGTAATTAAAACGCTTTCACTCAATACCCAATTTAAAAAAAAAGAGTTGACTGTCTGCACTAAAAAAAAAAGTTTGTTTTGTTGTTAATATGGTGGGGAAGAGATGTCACTTTTGCAAGACTTATATTTTGCTGCCTGTTACTGCTTTGGGGAGATTATACTATAATATTTATTTCTATAAGAGAGGTATGGGGATCGCCAGGACAGGAAGGAGCAGACAGGAACATAAGAGAGCTTCTAACGTTTTACCATTTCAACTTTTCATTGCCCCCACAGGAGATATTTCCCATTACATCCTGTCACTGTGAAACCCCTGTTATTGGGACAGGGAGTGAGAGGAAATTTCAATGGAGAGACAGAAAGCAATAAAACCTTATAAAGAGGTGCTAACCCTTCAATAGACTTTCCAAAATGAAATAAAAAAAAGAGTTTTGACAGAAAGTGGGCTTTAACACCTTGCTGTCTGCTTCTGTTGGCCCTTTAATAGTTTCTTAACACTGGGAGGCAGACTTCCCAATATGTGATCAATGTGACTGGAAGAACAATTTTACGCAGTGCACATTCACATCAGTCCCTGCCCTCAATGAGCTTTTAATCTAAGGTCCCTATCTCACACACATACATGGCCAATTTAGACAGAAGCCAATGAACCTTCTAGCATGTCTTTGGAGTGTGGGAGGAAACCCACACAAGCACAGGGAGAACATGCAAATGTCTTGCAGATAGTGAGTGACCTGACCGGGATTCAATCTTGGGACCCCCAGTGCTGCCAGGTAGAAGTTTGCTGCTGACAGCACAGTCACTGTACTGGGGGCATTGAGTGAGTGTGCTCCCAACACAATGGCACCAGCTGTAGGCATAAATGTGGCAGCCCAGCCATAAAAGCCACCTATGTGCTGCCACACATATGTGCACGACCGGGCAATTGATTCAAGTTCCTAATTCTTGAACATTATCCCAGCTTTCTTTCTTTACCATGGGGATTTTGCTTTTTGTATTGTATGTATGGTAAAACCATCTAAAACCTCTATTGCCTAAACAATCTTTTTCTTCATTTTGTCTATTGTTGAGTTATTATACAGGGTTATTCACAAAAGGGTGAAGAGTCTGGAGAAGGCAGAAGAAGTGAACAATCTAGGACAACATAGCTGATTTGGAAACATTCTCCAATTCAGCTCCCTTTCCTGTCCAGCTGTGCTGTCCTAGATTGTTCACGTCTCCTGCCTTCTCCAGACTCTTCACCCTTTAGTGAATAACCCTGATTAGGCGTAAACATTTTTACCTCTCAGTATTCATATTTAAACACAAGATGGCGATGTTGTACTAATTGTGTATGTAAACAGTTGTGTAAGGAGGGTCCACTAGATGGCGCTGTGCGCTCTGAAACGTCCCCATGTGCTAATCGCTCGTTCTTCCTTCTTGTTGATTTGACATGGAGTCTCAGGACATGCTTGTTGCTGCTGGAAGTTCTGATATGTGTAGGTGGTTTGGGGTTGTCTGTGGGGGATTTACCTTGTACGTGGCATAATGTTATGTCTTTTATCTAAAGTCTGGGAAGAAGCTTTGTTGTTATTAGTAAAACCTTTAATTGAAATCAGACTTCATGCACTGATAGAAGATGTTCTTGCCAAGTTAAAGGCAAAGTCCCCATGTTAGAAAATGAAATAGTGTACACATATTCATAAAAGAAAAAAATGTGCATTTATTATTTCTTTGCATTGGAGCCAATAAAACATTGCAATCGCAATGAGTGGGTGCAATGCAAAGGCTCCTGCAGATTCTTCCTCTTTCCCCTCCTTACTTTGACATTCTGTAATATGGACAGGAGGAAGAATACATTAACTATAAGTGTGGCAACGTCACCGCATTTGTATTTCAATGAGACCTACAAGTCCCTCAGCCTCATGACGTGGCTGGGGCTGTGTTAAAAAATACAGCAGCAGCCTGTGGGGGAAGAACCCTGCGATTCAGATAAGGGGGGGTTGAGCTAAGACCATGTTGCATGATACACCCTGAATATGGGTGTAACATGATTAACCGTAAAAGTATTTAGCACAAGAAGATGATCTATCCACCTTCTGTTTATCATGTGGGGTTAGCCTTGTAAGTGTGAGTTATGTTTACAGAGGAGCTCCAGGAATTGTAAAAATTAAATCTCGTAGTGGGGTTACCCTCTCACTGCAAGGGTTAACTGCTCATGTTTTCTATAGGGGCCGATGTAAAGAAGATATTATCGCATGATCCTAGGTCCTGTGGTCAGTGCTTACCTTTCGCCCCCCCTACATCTGTTAAAAATAAGTCGAGGCAACTGGACTTGCTGTATTTTTCTTGAAGACATTTCACTGGACATCTGACCAGCTTTCTCATACAGCAAGTCCAGTTGCCTTGACTCATTTTTTACAGATATACCATGGGACCTGGATGAATGGGAACCTTCACAGACATTTCTCCCCCTACGTTTCGGCGATGAATGTCCCTTGGTGTCTTCGCATCTAATGCACTTGAATTAGACATGATAACATCACGTGTCCTTGGACCGCCGGAACCTGGGGAAGGAGAGGCTGCGGGGACCGGTCTAGCACCCAGGCAGGACTGAGGTGTAGGTAAGTATATCTCATTAATTAAAAAATGAACACTTAACCCTTGCAGAGCGTGCAGGAGTTCTTTTCTACAATTTCTCTAATAGTTTTATAAACGGGGTTGGGGTGCTTGTGTCCAATGTGTACAGCATCTGGCAGCATCTCTGGCCAAGACGATGCAGCATATGTGCATGCTTACCCTAGTGAATTCTTCATAAAAACATGGGCCATGGACTTGGAGGGGGCTTTAAGCCTACCCTGCACCTTAAGGCCCCATTCACACTTGACCGTTTTGTAGCGCGTCCTACGCTCGATGAACCCTCTACAAAACGGTCAAAAAAATAAATAGCATTGTAGTCAATGGTATCGTTCCCACCTGTCCGTATTTCCGCCCGTCCCGAACGCGCTACTAAACGGCTCACGCATGAAAAGGTCCCGGAGCGTTTTTTGCTGCGTATTGGTCCGTTTTGTAGGGCGTTTTCCATTTGTATACTGCCAAGTAGCCTTTGGAATCGCGCGACGGTCGTGCAACTTTTTTTACCGCGCATCGCGGTAAAAAAAACGCGTGACAGACACGCATATTACAATACGCATAGGTGTGAATGGGGCCTTACTGGAAAACATCCATTGTGGGTGGGTGTTCTTCAGCAACTTTCTCTTTATTTGCCTTGAGTAAAAGTTTTTTGGGGTGTTCTTTTTAAGTGGCTTTTATTTTGCTTCCAGCAAAGTAGTAGTCTGTAGGTATCATACAAACTTTATTGTTCACTGGCCCCTAGATTGTTCAATTTCTATCATATTCTGTTTTATTTGTGATGGGTATTACAATTATTTATTTTCTATTTTTTTAGGGTTGTAAAAGGCTTTTATTTCATCTGGTGTCCTTCAAGCAGTCTTTTCTTTTCGCACCACATTTAAGCTGGTTAGGTGAAACATGTCATTTCAGTTTAATTTCAGCGTTGAAGAAGATGAAGCGGAATGTACTGGACTTTCAGACCTCCAACGCAAAAGGGAGACACCAGAGGATAGTACACACCGCTCAGAAGACAAAGAAGTACAGCTAAAATTATCCACTAAGAATAAAGAGACGGGGATAGAACAGAATTCCTCTCTTAGTAAGAGTGACATTTTAAATAGTAGCAGTACAGGCAAGGATTGTAAAACTGAAGAAAAACCAGTTTGCTGTAAACCAGCAGTCGAGCACAAAATCCCACAAGATGTCAGCAGAGTGCTGGAAAATAAGATCGTTGAACAGAGCTCAGATCTACAGTTCGTCAATGTGTCTGTAGTGGAAATGACATTGTCTAATGAAGATTCACACGGTGAAAATATAGTGAGTAGAACTGTCACAGCGAACTCTGATCTAATTTCTGGGGTGTATGAAGGCGGCATGAAAATTTGGGAGTGCACATTCGATCTCATCAAATATATTGAAGATGAAGATGTCAGCTTTAAGGGAAAAAGTGTCTTGGATCTTGGCTGCGGGGCTGGTTTGTTGGGAATTGTGGCCCTAAAGCGAAAAGCCAAAGAAGTGCATTTCCAGGACTACAACAGCACAGTGATAGAAGAGATCACTATTCCTAATGCTCTGGTCAACTGTGACAGTGGTGATGGAACTGGAAATGTTACAGAAGAACCAAACAAAAAGAGAGTCAAGAAGTCAGAAACATCTGCAGGGCTCTTGGACAAGTGCCGCTTCTTCTCTGGTGATTGGTCACATTTGACACTGTTAATGCAAAATCAAACGCCATCTTTGAAATATGATATTATTCTAACATCGGAGACCATCTATAACCCTGATTACTATAGTGCTCTGCATGATCTCTTTCAGCATCTATTGGCTGACAGTGGGACTGTATATCTAGCTAGTAAGTCTCATTACTTTGGTGTAGGAGGGGGTGTGCTTCTGTTTGAGACTTTTGTTAAACGGCACAACCTTTTCCACATAAATACCCTCAAGACACATGATGATGGACTTCAAAGAATGCTTTTGAGTTTGTCATTTAAAGACCAATAATAAAGGGAAAAGGCTATTTTAATAACTCTGTTTGTTTTTCTTAATAAAACAGTGTCTTATTTTTTTATATCTGGAATATGCAAATTAGCAGTTTGTATCATATAAGCACAGTTCTGTGTTCTGCCTAGGAATTGTTTCAGTTGGGGGGGCTGAAATTAAGGGAAGTGTAAAATCACTGAAAAATAGAAAGCCTTTCTAAAGCTGAACATTATATTTTATTTTAAATATAGAGAGAGTGGCTCCGCTGTCATCGTTCTTGATACCCAGAACAGAACTGGCTCTCAAAATAACAGCTGATCCCTGAAGATAAATGTGTGAAAGTGTCTCTCTTCATGTAATTTGCAGAGCTCAGGTATCAGTTTGACAGTCGTGTGTATCAGGAAGTGTGACAGCAGCAAAGCCCCGTGTATTACACCAGGAGCCATTTTCCTGGTGTAATCTGCAGGGCTATCAGTTTAACAGCTTGACAGAGCATCAGCTGAGCCCCATGTCCATCGTAGCACTGGAAACAGCAGCTTTCCCTGCCTTTGAGAAGCAGTAGTTCCACAGAAGTGTGGCAGCTTATGAAAAGAGCTGGACAGAGAGTATGACAAAAATAGTCTTAGGGAGAGCTGCTTCATTTGCACAGTATATGGTCAATAGAACAGCTTTGCTATTGCAAATAGGGTCTTATGAAGCACATGGTAATTGTACTTAACAATACCTTCAGGCACTGTATCACATGTTTTTTGGCTGTATGAGATGCTCTCAACAAATTCATGTTTTAAATTCATTTGACTGAAAGTTTGCACTAGACGCTCTTAACCACACACCCAGAAATGAATGTAATGTCTTTGGGTAAAATGCAACCCATGCTGAGAAAAATAACAGCAGCTGCCATTGCACTTCTTCCTAAGATGATATATAGTAGTTGATATATAGTAAGTGAAGTCAGAGCTCCTGATTTACATGCGTGTTTTGGAACAATGGAAACTTTTTAGTAGAGGCCGGCAATGGCAGCTTCCATATTTCACTAAGCACTTGCTTAAAGAAGAACGCCGGAAACTTTTATTAACCCTTGCAGTGGGGTTACCCCCACACTTTAAGGGTTAACTGCTCGTTTGTGTCTAGTTATAAAAAAAAAAACCCAAAGCTCAGAGCCAGCTTCCTTTTAGACCAGTCCTTCCCACGTCCTTCCCTCTCCTCTCGGTCTAAGGTCCCATAAATCATCAATGTCTATACTAGGGCTGCAACCAACTAATCGATAATGAGAATAGTTGTCAACTATTCTTATCGATTAGTTGGTTGGATCCCCTAGCTCTCTCCTCAACGCTGGGAAAAGGGCACAGCAAGCAGTGGGCGGGTGCAATAAGTAAGCCTGCTATTGCATACTGGAATTCCAATAGCAGGCTGGCTATTGCATCAGCCCACTACCTGCTGTATTTATATTCAGCTGGCATCTGCGGAATCTTGCCCCTGGCAGCTGTCATTCCCTGGCTGAAGCTATTCAGGCACCATGTGCTTACAATACAATTATTATTTTTTTAAATGGGGGGAAAAAGACATTGTAGCAAAGTGTCATTTCTTCTGTGTTGTCACATGAAATGATATAATAACATTTTTACAAAAATGTGAGGGTTGTACTCACTTCTGTGAGGTACTGTACATACATAACATTAAAGCTGAGGCTTCCAGACACGTATGGCATTCGGGAGCTCCCGAATGCTATTTGGAAACTCAGTCTCCATTTGGGTCTTGGAGCATCAGGTTTAGTATTATGTATATATAATAAGTATTCTGTAGTATGAACGAATATTCTTTGCGGCAACATTGGGAGCCATATATACATAAAACTAAAGCTAAGGCTCCCAGAAATCGGATTCAGACCCATTTGGATGCATTAAACCGAAAAATACCTTTGTTTGGCCAGAAAAGTCACATGTCCGATTCAAAATAGTTTTTAAATGAAATTCGGACAAGATAAAAAATTTCGGAAACAGAAATTTGGATTCGGACATATTTGGATGCATTGGGATTCAGATGTGTCCGAATTACAGCAAATTTGTATGAATTTTGATTCGGCTATTTGACATGTCTATTTTCCAGTTCAGCTTTGATGTCCTAGATCAGGAGTGCCCAATAGGTCGATTGCAATCTACCAGTCGATTGTAAAGCTAATGCTTGTAGATTGCGATCGCAAGTCTGCTCAGCCAAGCAGGAGAAGACCGGCTGGGCTAGGATAGGCAGCATAGTGAAGGAGGAGGCAGCTCTGTATATCTTCATTTGTCATGGGAGGAGGTGGGAGTTGTGCTCAGCCGGCAGGACTCGGCTGATCTTTGCAGCTCTGCCAGCATCATGAGTTAAGTCTTAGGGAAGGGGGGGAGCCGCAGCAGCTCTAAAGAGGACCTGTCAAGGCCTGAAAGACAGGATGAAAGATAGAGCCAGCAATGCTGAAAGAGTTTGGTTATTACAGGTAATGGTCTCAAGACAAGAAAATGTATCTGAAAATATAGTCCTCTTTCCAAGACCAGAAAAAAAGTGAACTTCTTTCAAAGTACCTTTCTTGTTTTCCTGAAAATCAGCAGTTTTTATTCTATAAGCATATCACAGCGAAGAGTTATTTTAATCTATATTTGCACTTTAAAAATGATGAAAGTCAGTTATATTTATAAAAAAGAGTTCTTTTAGGGCTAGTTCACACTAGCACCAGTGCGTTTCGGCCCGATTCGGTGCCGTCCCGGCCGGCTCACTTTGTTTTGGGGCAGGAGGGGGCGTGGTGGTGCATTGAAGTCAATGGCACCGCAGCCACGCCCTCCAGCCGCAGCGCGATTGCCCACATCAGAATGCAAAGCACATCAATGCCTGCGTTCCGGTCCAGTCAGAAAAAGTTCCCCGGACTGGAACACAGGCATTGATGTGCCACGTGTTCCAGTGCAGCCGATCGTATTGCGGCAGGAGTGTGTGGCTGCAGTGCCATTGACTTCAATGCACCGCTGCGCTTCCTCCTGCCCCAAAACATAGTGAGCCGACCAGGATATGATCCAGTGCGTTCCGGCACCGAATCGGGTCGGAACGCACTGGGCTGGTGTGAACTAGCCCCTATAATTTATAATTACATATATTTTTATTCACTGATATTGCTATGTTTATCTAACTTTTTTTATTTCAATAATACATATCTGTTATGCATAATAAAAATTGGTATAATAAACATTTTGTTATTGACATTTGAAAAAGGCTTTAATTTTAAAAACATTCGTACTGTCTAAGGGCTTGTTCACACCAAGCACGGAACAGGTGCAGAGCAGTTACAGACCGGATCAAAACTGCGTCCAATGTGTTCCTATGGTATTTTTAGCTCCAGTTCACCTCACAGCGTTCCGTTCCAGAGCAGGTAAAAAAACTGCAGCAAGCCCTATTTTACCTGCTCTGGAACGCATCAAAAACGCATCAAAAACGCAATGCAATGCAATTCACTGCAAAAAACTAACCATAAATAAAAAAACTATGGTCATCTGTGATGACCTAATCTTTCTTGGTCACTTCCTGTCTGTGGAAAAAGGTGACCTTGTGATCTGTAGACCAAAGGAACAATGGTGGATAAGTATTGTGACCCCGAGAAATTCATTAGTATGGTGGAAGAGTGCCCTGAGCTGTATGACAGCAGGCATTTTCAATACAAAAACAAGAAGGCTGATCAGTGGAGTTCTATAGCAGGATTTTCCCTGGATATGAGGATATGTCCTCTACTGATAAGGAGAGCTGTGGTGAGTACTTCAATGTGAATGGCACTTTGGCGTAGCATTATAATAACCATCACCAGGAGCATGCCTGCATCCCATGGATCCATGCTGCAACAATTTTACATGTGAAACAAGGTCAGAGGAAGCAGGAAATAATCAGAACAGCCAATGAAAGGTCAGAGGTAAAAGGAAATGACGTCATAACATTGTTAGCTTCCTGAAGGAAAAAAAAAACGCTCTGGAACGCATCAAAAACGCATCTAAAGACTGGCGTGCGTGTGCAGAAACGTGAGCAGATCTGCTCTGCATTTTGTGTTAACAAGGCCTAAATTTTCGGATGTTGGTTTAATGGTTGAATATGTTTGAAATCAAATCCATACAGTATAGGTGTTCTTTATTAAGTTGAAAGGAGCCGCGATAATGACTATCACAGCTTATTCCCTGGAGCAATATATATACAGTATATATAATATTCATTATTATTATTATATGATATTATTATTATCATACAGGATTTATATAGCGCCAACAGTTTAGAATAAAAGGAAGACATTAGAGTTACAATACAATTCAAGATTGTTTCCAAGAACCACCTGCACTCCTTACGGTCTACAACCTTACAATATTGGTGGTGCTCATGGTGATCGCATGAATTGCGCCATGTAAAACTCAGGGTAATCTTAGTAGGTCAGTCACCAGCACATACAAATAAAGATTCCGATATCAATATCTCGTTGATATGTTTATTGAAGAATGTCACATCATGTCACAAGAAGCTAACGTTTTCGAGACCTCAATGAGATATTGATATCGAAGTCTTTCTTTGTGTGTGCCGGTGACCTACTAAGATTACAATACAAATCAAGACAAGATGGTAAGGAGGGCCCTGCCTGTGAGAGCTTACAATCTAAAAAAGATAGATTGATAGAGAGAGAGAGAGAGAGAGAGAGTATATTATCAGTGAAGTGAAAGAGGCACTCACAATTAATTGGTTGATGTTTCCAGATGACATTACTTGCTTCTCAGACGCTAAACAGATGTGACACACATACATTTAAAACCAACAGCCCACCCCCATCCCGCCCTCGTGCTGGAACCGCACAGGGCAAAGTTAAAAGAGAACTATAGCCCAACCTTTTTTTTTGCCAAAGTTCTCTTTAGGGTCACAAGAGGACATTTGCTAATGTCCTCCTGTGACCCAAGACTCAGCATATAGCGAGCTATTGCCCACTATATGCTGACAGCACACAGCTGCCCTTCAGCCAGGATGGATCCACC